AATTTATGATTTTATTTTATTTAAATAAAAAAATTAAATTATCAAATAAATAAAAAATCCAGGTCAAATGTTAAATCTCTTGCCATGTAAGCATGACATGGCAATATTTTGCTATCCAAGCAGCCAAGCGGGGTATGTCCTCAACGGCAGTTAAGTCACGCGAGCAATCCCAAACGGCAGTTAAGTTGGCGTAAGAAGAAGGGCTTAATTGCTTTGATCCCAGAGTTCAAGGACTTATATGCCTCAATTAAACTTTAGGGGCTTAATAGCGATTCTGGGGTTAGTTCAGAGGCTTAACTCATGGTTTTGCCAATAAAAATTGCATTGGCGTTAGATGTAGACAAGAATTTATATAGACATTTTTTTTTTTGACAAGGGGCATTTATATAGACATATACTTATATAGTTCACTTTCTAAGATTTAGAGAAAAGAATGAAGCATTACCCCAGAAATTACACTCATGATTCGATTGATCGGACAAAATAAAATTTCAAATCTTTAGCCAGTCCTCTTCTCAAGCTGTAGCTAGTTTTCTGGAGTAGACAATGTACATGGGATCCGTTAGTCCAGGATTGGGAGATATGTCGACAGCCTGTAGACACAACCAAAATTTTTAAGATGTATCAAATTATTGGTGTCTTTATGATAAGTTTCAGATATTCATATCCATGCACATACATTAACATTCATGTGGAAGTATGGATGGTGGTATTTGAAAGAATAAACAGTATAATTTCGTAAAGTAAAACTGCACATATTTCAAAGCCATGCTTAAAGACAAATACCTCAGGAGGTTCAAATCCGCCAGCATAATGGAAATATGACCCAACAATCAAAACATGATCAGCATCACCTGTGGATGTCCATATGGAGATTGCTTTTGTCCAAAAGCAACGGTTGGAGAAGCTGTGTGCAAAATATTTTCAATTTTTTATAAAGTTACTATTTGTTTAATGGGAGTCTTTGAAAATTAGATAGAAAGGGCCAAAATTGTGTCAACTAAAAGAGGGCACAAAAATAACCTCATGATAGCCAATCCACCAGGCTTAAGAATCCTACACATCTCCTTGAAAATATCAAGAGGCTTTGTTAAGTAATCAACACTAACCTGCAAAATTTGAAGAGCATAGAATCAACCTTGTACTACAACCATCAAGAGGCATTCTTAGGTAATCAACACTAACCAGCAAAATTTGAAGGATATATAATCAACCATGAACTACAACCATCGAAAGCATGGTTTTTCACAAGATCTAAGTGCAAAAAATTCTGAAATATTGTTTGTTGCAGAAATACTATGCTTCCAAGAACCAATTTATAAGCTCCTGGCCTTCCACGCCAATTGTAAAAGGAGCACCTCACCCAGCCTATAGCATTGGGTTTTGAATTCCCAGTTCCCTTCCCTCAGCAATTGTATGTGTACAAAAAGAGGGAAAAAAAAAAAAAAGAACGAATTTATAAAATTATACTCTTAACTGTCTAATGGTATGACCTACAGAAAACGATGGAAAGAGACACATACCACATTAGTAATAATGTCAAACGAATTATCATCAAATGGAAGCTTAGGGTCCACATTCAAGTCTTGCACAACATACTCTGTGAGAACCTACAGAGACAATAGTTTGAAAAAACATAAGCTTCCAGGCAAAAGCACAGTAAATACAAAGAAAATAACATTTTACCAATTTCATGTTGGTGATCAAAGATCAAGACATGACCACCGATAGACATTATAAGGATCTCCTGCCTGTAAAATCTTTACGGGATAACTTTATGCTATTGTGACAAGAAACTTATCTAGTCAATTACAGTTTCAAACTTTCAGGGATAGTAAAAGTAAATAAATTAAGAAACTACATATGCTAAAATCAGCCTTAAAAGCAAAAGGGGCGTGATAATAAGCAGAACTTAATCTCACAGGATTTCGTTTGAGCTCTTCTTCATTCATGCCCATCCCAACTATACGCTCTTGCTTGTACCCTTTTGGATAATGGCTGACCTAAATACAAAGCCAAGTATTGGGTTATGGCAATTTAACGCACCTGACAGAGAAAGCAGCCGACATTAACATTAGAAATGATAAATTTCTCACCCAACTGCTACACATGTCCAGCATGCTCACTCCTGGAGTGCTGCTAGGAGGAAAAACCTGTGAATAATACTTGGTAAGTGCAGCAATGGCAGGATCATCAATGTGTGTAACAAATCGTGGACTTTCGTAGAACAATGAATCCGATGACCTGAAAATATGAATTTAATTTCTCAAAAAGAAAGCTCATTTTTAAGAAGCAAAATTTAGTTTAAAAAGACTCTCGTATTTTACTCATCAAAGCGCTGAAAATCCTCCTCCTTGAAGGGGAACTGTTCCGGCCATTCAGCATTCTTCAGGACCTGTGAAATTGAAGCAAAAAATTAGAAATTGGGCATCTCAATCAGAATAAAGAACAATCTGTACTTCTAAGAAACAGAATCCGTCTAATTCCTTAAACCTTAAAAAGAAAATCAGATTGCATTTCGAAATTCAAGAAAAACGCAGAAAAATTGAAAACCCACCTGTTCGATGGAGGAACTACGCTTGGCGGAAGCGACGAAAGATTTCCCACCGACAGCACCGGCCATGTACTGAGCCCAGAACGTCGCACCCAGCCCTAGCACCAGACGGCGATGCACTCCGCCACTACAGCTCAACTTTTTCAGTGCTCTCGAAAGACACGAAACAGAATTCACAGTGCAGGCAGTGACCGAAGCGGAAGTAATTGTCTTAACAAGACAAGAATTATGAACTCCGGCCAAGACCGTTAAGGTTCGCCGTTGCAGCGGAAGTCCGACGACAAGTGTCATCTCCAAAATTATCGGACACTTATTTATAGGTTCATGGTTTTATATGTTGTGGCTGAGGATACGGCGGCGTGGTCGTGGGGAGTTAATGACCGTCCGATGGATGAAGCTGATGAGTTTTCTGTGGTTGAGATTATTTTTGTTAATCAGCGATGCAAGTTTGTGTACGTGGCTCTCTCTCTTTTCAAGTCTGAAAATATAATTGCACTTCTAGTCACTTAACTTCATGCTTGCTTTTACTTAAGTTACCTAACTTCCTGTCCTAACAATTTCATCCCACAGTTTATCATACGGATGCCAACTTTGTAATTTTTTTTTAATTTAAAAATACCAATTTTTTTATTTATAATTAAAAATGTAAACTTTCAACTTTTTTTTTAAAGATATTAACTTTACGCTTTTTCTATTTAAGAATTAACTGAATAGTAATGCTAGTATAGTAAATACAAAATTAGTATCTTTAAATAAAAAAATAAAATTAGCATTCTTAAATGGAAAAAAAAGGTAAAATTAGTATCATTAAATAGAAAAAATTGAAAATCTACCATCTTACTTAGAAATCAACAAAATTTACATTTTTAAAGAAAAAAATTACAAAGTTGGCATCTTTATCCCCATCTTTTGTCGTGTAGTTTGTCTAAATTTTAATAACTAATCTAGTAACTATTAACTTTTTATTGCTTTAGTTTAGGAGAAAAGAGAAAATCAGGACATCTTGAAATTAAATGTGATATTAAAAATTGTCAAGACGTTCAATCACAACTATTAAATATGTGAAGTATAATGTAAATTTTAATTTTATCAGATTCATTATGTGACTATTATTAGATGTCCTTAACACTAAAAAATGCCAAGGCCAAGATGTTTTGGTTTTCCCTTTTCCCTTAGTTTAAAAAGTTTGCCTTCACCTAAAATAGTCTAATTAATTAAAAAAAATTGCATTGAGATGCTTAACTCACCACATTTCTATAAGTTAAACTAATAAACATCTACGTTAAGTTTTAACACTCATGTGACATTATATAATCTATTATTTTGGATTTGAACCTAAACAACATTAAATGAATTCAAATCTATATTTTTAGTATAGAAGTGTTAGAAAAATAATTTCATTCTTTCAAAATATGAACAAAAGTCCAAACTCCAAAGTAGTGGCGAAACCAGGATTTCTCCTTAGGTAAGGCCTTCCAGTTTTACCTCCACTTAATATATTGTAATTATATAAAATGAATAAAGCAAATAAAAAATTGAAATGCAAAAGACCAAATTGTAACACAAATGAAAGAGCAAAGACTAGACAAAAAAAAAAAAAAAAAATTACAAATCCAATGGAAAAGTTAATGTGGAATATTCTATTTTAGTAGATTAAAATATCAAAAATGCTATACTTACAATATCACATGATATTGTAAATTTATAATATTATATATCATTATATAATTAGTTCTTTTTATTTAAGGGTCTATCAATGATATTATATGCATTTGTTTATTTAATACCACATTATACTTATTTAATGTTATATCACGATAAACATTATAACTATAGTATTACTGTTAAAATATATGAATTTCTCTTTCTTCTCTAATGGTAGCCAAACCTAATCAAAGCCTCAATCCTCCTTTAATATTGCTCTATTGCAATGAATTAAAAAAGGTTTGTGGAGATTCTCTTCTAGAAACTATGTGATGAGGGTCTAGTTGTCTGGTGTATTAGAAGTTAAACTAGATAAATTATGAGATAATAATGAGAAATTTGTATCGGATAATACTTGGCTTTCAAGGAATCTAATTGAGAGAATATAAAATGAAATTTTAATTTTTTAAAAAAGAATTCATTGAGTTTAAGAGTTAAAGTCATTTGAACATGGAATTAGAGGTAGCTAGAAACAAAGATAAAAAATGAAATCAAAAGTGGAAGAGAAGGAAATTGTAAACGTAAAAAACTAGGAATCAAAGCATATATATTGGTTTGCTACAAAGAAAAATAAATTTTGCAATAACTTTTTTTAAGGTATTAAATCTATTTCTCTCTTTGATTTTAGTTATTCAAGATATGGGTTGCATATTTATTTTTCCAATTTTCTTTCCACTTCAATATTTTATATTTCTTTTGATATGCCTTTCGTTTTAATTTCTTAAAATCCTAAATCTTTTATTTTCCTTCAAATTCGTCCAACTATAAGGTAGGGTCTGGACAATTAAACCCTTACTTTCTTCAAATTTTTTTGGCCCAGGGTAGGCCCGTGCCTAACCCTGGGCCAATGTGCTTCCACCACTGCTCCAAAGCCCTTCCTGCATGAGTCTTTCGTAAGTATTCTTAGCCTTTTTTTTTTTTTTCATTAAAGATACAGTCTTCTAAAACCAGGCTCCTTACCTTTTTCCTGTGGGCCTGTTTACGAAATGATTTTTCTATTCCAGAAACAAAATCCGGCCCAATATATAATATTTTAAAAAGTTATTTTGTTTTTTTTTTTTCCCCCTTAAAAAATGGATTTCAATTTTTGAAGGACTAAAAAGTTGAAATAACATGTTATAAACTAGAGCCTTTGTTTATATATGCCTCCTCAGTATAAGTAGTGCTTTTGTTTTTCAATTTTTACGTTGATAATCAATCCAGTTCTTTGTAATTTTTGTTGCTAATTATTTTATATATTTTCATATAAAAAAAATCTGTTGTACAGTTCAAACTATACTAAAGAATGGTGTTTTTTTTTTTTTTTTAATAGTTTACAATTTAAAGAGATGGGATTTTTTAAGACGTTGATAGGGTTCGAAACCTCAACCAACTAATCCAAATACTTTAAAACTTAGGGGGTAAATCACTTAAACCCGAAAGACTAGTTTATAAAGAAATGGTGCTTTTAGTATTGAAAATTATCCCAGATTTAATAATTTATGTTTTATAATATAGAAAATCCATTTTGTAATTTAACCAAGCAGCCTACTGAATTATCACATAAGGGCCCATATTGGCAAACGGAATGCGGAATCAAAGGAACTACGAAGGTCAAAATCCATGAACTAATGGACCCATAATTTGATCTGTACATAAAACCTAAATAGGCCCAATGCATTCCCTTCACCCAATACGACAAATTGACAAATTGCAGAAGAAACAGAAATAATTGTACCTCAACTTTCTGGCAAAACCCTTTGTTTTGAACCTTCAAATTTATTTTAGATTTTTAATTAAATCTTTAATTTTTTATTAAAAAATAAACTCTTTAACTTAATGATATAGATAATTTAATCATTTTTTGTATGGTAGACTTAACACATGTTTGTGCTTTACTTGTGTAGACAAAAATCATCACCCATTATGTAAATAATAATAGCATATTAATACTTTATTTATGCAAGTGATACACAAATAGGTATTAAGTCCATTATAAAGAAAAAAACTATTAAATTGCTTAAATTACTAAGTTTAGGAACTTATTTGTTTTAATAAAAATCTACAAACTTAATTAAAAATTTAGGGCAAGTTTTAAGGGCTTAATGTATGGTTTTGCCCCACTTTCATTCACACATCCAGCCTTCGTTCCCTTTCTCCTCTCCATACTTTCTTTTTTATTTATTTATTTATTTTACATATAAATAGGGGGTTTTTTTTTTTAGGCTAAATACAAATAAGGGATCTACATCCACTTTCTCAAATCTTCATTTATCAGTTTTAAGATCTAAACTTGATATCTTTAAGGGGAGTTTTAGCATCCCACAAGCAGCCTCCCCTTTTTAGGATCAAGGTAAAATTCAATTTATAACATTATATAGCTACGATCCAAAAAGCTAAATTAGCACGTATATAGTATTCAATGCATCATGAAATGGTTAGATGTACATTGATTCTTATATAATAATCTGAGTTTCTTCTGGAAGTGAAGTGAACTTGCATCTACCAACACATGCATGCAACCAAACCAAGTATATGTTGTTGTTATCTTAGATTGTTAGGTGGTAGAGTGGGGAACCACACCCCCAGAAGCTTACAATTTTCAGTTGTGATCTAAGCAAAAAACAAGATGCTTGCAAGCTTGCAGCAACTAAGTAAAGAGTTGGGAAGTGGATGTGAATCTAATGTCAGCATCAACTGACAGACAAAAAAACAATTAATATATGTTCCCAACTATGTATGACAGCATATAAAGTAAACCATTTTTTTTCCAGCGAAAAACAGGAATCATTTGAGCAAGTAGTGATAAACGTGCTATTAATATAGTTGTCTAATGGTAATCTCTATTGAGTATAATATTGGGATGAAATTATTGATAAGATCTTTTGAGTATAATTTGTAGCATGTATTTTAAGAAAACTAATACAATTCGCATATACATTATGTTAGATTAATCCTTGGGACTCAAGATAAGTTAAAGAATTGAATTGAGTTGCACCTAACTTTCTTGATCTAATGACTATAAGTCATGTTGTAGGTGTATGATCAACTCAATGGTCGGATTTTGAATCCCACTCCTAAAGTTGTAACCATTCAAAAAAAGATAATTGAATTGAGCTGCCATATTAAATGGGAAAATTAAAGGAAAGGACCAGGAAATATACCTTCTTGTCCTGTCTTGTGAATTACGTAAATTTCTTGCTTAAAGACAAAGTAGATCAATGGTATATTATTAGAGAAAAAGGGGTTGAATGCTACAGTTTGGTTGAATTTCACATCTTGGGTGTTGACTTCACATTTATAATGTCACAAATGAATATGAAGAAATAGACAAAGAAACTAATTGTACGCCTCCAAATCTACAATTGTGTAATATATTTATTAAAAAA